AGATCCAAAAAGGGCCTTTTTTATAGTGTTTAATAACCTCTTTATTTAGCATCTTATTATACTTCTTGGGACTTATTTCTGTACAAAAAATTTAGATATGTCAGCTTTTACGAACATATTTTTGTTGTTTTGATTTCTTTCAAATCTCTACTAATTGGTTGTTGTATATTATCAGTGATTTTTCTATATTTTATTATATTTTATTTTTCTAATTAATCCGATTAAGTCGGACAAAAATCTATCTAGTTCCTTAATATGGGGAGGGTGGACATAAGTCTTAATTTATTACTTGTGTTTATATATATATATATATATATATATATATATTCTGTCGGAGAGAGAGAGAGTCTGAAAATCATACATGGAATCAATCAGCAATATTTGCATTAATTCGAAATCACTTTGCTAATAGAACATAATGTATGCATTAAAATGGTGTTAATCCATTGAATGATGTGATCCTCATTTATAAAACTGTTGTCAGGGGATTTCCATGTATTTTTTCGGGCATTAAAGTCACCCTTTAGAAGATCCGTGTCTTCATCATTGGCGGTCGCTTTTTGGAATGTACTATTTATTGCTGGGTGTACAATCTGAACGTGCGAGTCGCAACGCTAAAGTTCAAAATTTCAAGTGAGAATTTTTATATGAATTTTGTAATATGCTAAATCAGGGAATTGTTTTTTATCCGAGATTGTACAACAATCAATAACAGTACATTCTTAAAAAAACATCTTTCGTTTACAAACAATTATTTGCTTCAAGTTTTAACTTTACCGGAAAAAATACAGCCTGATGATGAAGCCATGTATTCGAAAGGCTCCATAAAAAAATATACACCAGAAACATCTGACAACAGTTTTCTAAATAAGAATCACATCATTCAATGGATTAACAGTATTTTAATGCATACATTATGTTCTTCTAGCAGAAGACCATTTTCGTCATTAATCCTCATTAATATTCTGTTGATTCTTTTATTTTCTTTCTTTATATAAAATATCCTTTCACCTCCATATATATATATATATATATATATATATATATATATATATATATATATATATATATATATATATATATATATATATATATATATATATATATATATATATTTGTTTGAATAAAAGACAGACCACGTTAAGATTCCATGTAATAAGCTATTTCTGCCATAACCCTTTAACAGGGTTCTGGATCATCAGACTTTACTTCCAAAAGCTGAAATGAAAAATGAAAAGAAATTCACACGTTTTTTACGGACCTCATCAAGTATAACGCAAAATTAACGAAGTGAGGAAGTGAGGTGGGGAGAGAGGATATGAGTGTGTCATATGTATCATTTTAGTTTCCTATTTTAACCCTAGTGTGTCGGCTAGATGTTGCTCAAATTTAACGCGTCTCGTCTCTAGATATAGATGGCTAAGGGGTGAATGATAAGAACGACATTAAAGGAAGAAGTTACAACAACCCCAATAAATTTCACGACAGGTTTCATTCAAATTCTTAGACGCTGTCAGTTCGTGTTACTTTAACGTGCATATTTGGGAGGTTAAGGTTTGATAAATATCTAAATGTTAAAACAATCTACGAAGAAATTAATTTGAAATTCGGTGGAGTTTTGGGTATTTTCTATGAAACAGTCGATTGGAAAAATCCATAGACAGAACATTGAAAGAGCAATCCATTTTATATTTAGTAATTTTTTTTCCACTAAAACTTTTATCTTAAAACTTTTTATCTTGATCTATTCGTTTGATTTTTTTGTTCATTAAGTAAATCTGATTGTTTTTGATTTTTTGTTCATTAAGTAAACTCGTGATTGTTTTTATGTACCCAATTATCAACTGTTATTCCCATTTAAATAATTTTATTCTCAACACTGGGGTAGTATCTTTCAATCTCAATTAAAATACCAATCTAAACTTTCACTTCGTGCTATTTAAAATTCACTTCCAATTGGAGAATATTAGAGGAGAAATTTGGAAGAGATGTCACTAGCAGAAAATTAGGTCCTTCTTTTACAATTTCTTATCTACACATGTCTTAAACCCCTATTTGTAACCACATACCTATATCTTTTTATATGCCTATGAGTTCCTATATACACCTACACACATTCACACGAAACGACCATATGTATATTTCCATCTTTACACATATACACCTGCAGAGACAACGCACATCCACATATACCTATACTTATATATATATATACACACAAGGACATCTGCATATCCATATATATTCATATGCACATATATATATTTACACATCTATATGTATACACATATACACATACATACACACACCCATATATCGATGATGATCCAGTTAAGTGCTTTTTGCAGGTTGGTGTGGTTGTAAGATTTCGCACTAAGATCCATCAATACTCTCTTCCTACTCGTACAATCTCAGGGCACACAATTCTGTGACGACTGGGGCGGGAAGCAGGTCGCAGTGGATGCTCGATAATAACAGACAGTACTGCCTTCGGATAAAGATAAAAAATGTTGTCCTTTTTTTCCATATCCCATTCTCTGATGAAGCTTTAATGAAAGTGAAACATGTTAGATTGATAAAAAACTTTCCTACTTGTTCTTTATCTTGTCATTCTGTAGGATTTTGATACATATTTAATATTTATTTGATCAAAATTCCTTAATATCTATATAAAATTATATAACATTTCTGACAATATAAGCGATACTGTAACTTTTATTTATAAGCTGAAATATGACTAAAACAACCTAACCTCCATAAACTAGAATAATTATTGTATAACTCTCTTATCTGATTTTTGATGATTGGCAAATATATGTGATATATTAATATGCGTAAAAAGTTATTCGTGGATATGATTCCTTTCATGAGGTTGAGTTTATTTGATGATTCTCAAAGTATTTTATTACTTTGCGTGGATAGTGTTTCACTGCCGCTATAACATTACAGTCCCTAGCGCGAAAATATATATTCCGAATATATATATATATATATATATATATATATTGAGAGTTTGATGATTTACTGCCAAGCAAATTATTTTGACAATGGATAGTTCTGATAAGAGACACTGACAATCATACAGTCACGTTATTGTGTTTTTCTCTAGTCTCAAATACATATATTTTCACAACCTCTATTCATGTACTATGCTCTGTGTATAGGCAAGCACAAATACGAAGAGAGTCCATGTATTCTGTCCAGCGGCCGTCGTACTGAGCACGAAGGGACTATGCTGATGACAAAGGTATTCATATTTCGAATAAGAATGACATGACACAAAGTAATCAGGACCCTCTACCAAATATTCAAAGAAGTAGGATTTAAAATAAACCATTCTAAATAAAAAACGATGATGTGGATTAGGAATTAAAAGATTAATCATACACACACTGTATCCATAATGAAACTGGAGGTTGTGGAATTTATAAATACTGTCAACAATGTTGTTGGTTTTGTGTGTAGTTTTAGGTGAAGGTGTATTTCCAGTATATAAACAGCGAAAGTGTTGAGGAAACAAACAAAAATTTTGTGTTTCTGCGATGGACGTTTATTTCTTTTATGTTAATTTATTTAAATGAAGTTAAAAAGTCTCTTGAGTATGTCCGTTTTGCTTTTGATTCTGAAATGTATTACGGGAAGTATGGCTACGAACAGGTAAACATGGTCGAGCTCAAATTAAACTTCCCGCTGAGTGAAGAAGCACGATTTCATTAGTGGGACAGTTGAACACATCAGACGATGTCGTTGGTAAGTTAAAAAAACTTCAGTCGTCAGTGGACCGGGAAAACAATCATTCCCTAGTGGGAAAACTTTTACCGCGTAATTCACATCTTGAAGTCAAGAGGAAAAATAGGAATATTCTGTCCTTTTTCAGAAGTGGGGCCATAAAATCGCGCATGTAACCAGAAAAGTTTTTCCAGTTTCTTTATAACTTGCATAACGGAAAAATTGTTGTGGTAGGATCCACCTAATTTGCATAGTGGAGTACCGACCATATAAATATGGTTGGTACCGGGAAGACGAGGGAAGGAATCAAGAGATTCAAACCAGAGACTCTGCCCGACTGCGACTAAGTCAACACATTCTCCAGGAACGGTCTTACCAGGAATATACAAAAGACTATATGTAACTCAAATAAGAAATAATACCATAATCAAGATGTTGACTACTTTAAATGAAAGGTAAGGAAGGAAGCCGCATCGACACTAGAAAGAGCGATAACAGTTAATGGACTCAAAAAGCCTATTATATGAAAAATTGGTTTAATAGAAATTTAATTATGAATTTTGACAGACAGTAGTGTAACTGTTCGTCCAATGAATGTCCATTGTTTCCTTGCAAGAAAACTTTTTATATTACTATTACAATCATCATTTGGTCGAGATGATTTCTAGTTGAATTTTCAACAACTGCTTAGCGACATCCTGACCGGAACACTGCCAAAAACTTATTAATATCCTGAATTAAAACGATCATAATATACGTTGTGAAGATCTCAGTAGCTTGCACTGTGTACAACACTTAAAAGTTAAATTTATATAGCAATAATAAATTTGTTATTTTAATACCCTCTCCTTTTCAATACAAATTGGTGAACATTATAAATAATCAACAAAATAACACTAAAAATATGAGTTGTAAAGTTAAGAGTCGGTACTCCTGAAGCATCGAACGCCAAGGGTAAAATGTTTACCATTTATTCTTTATGTTTCCATTCAACTGAGTCACGATTTGTAATAAGTGTTTTTGAAATTTGAACATTTGTTATGTCTGACGATAAGAAACGATGAGAATTGCTTCTAGTCCTTCGGATTGTTCACAGATTTTAACCCGAGGAAATTATTACGCTTATATTGTTCGATGCCAGATTTCTTGGCATTAAAATTGGCTTTCAAAATATCGACTTAAAACCCGAATATATGCAACATACGTATGATACACTAAACTTTTGTTTTTATAGAAATATTCTGTATCATGTAAAATATATTTCGGGAAACTCCTTATAAATCCCTCTTCGTGGTAAAAGCAGAGGGTAGGTAAGCTTGGGAAAGAAAGGGAGATAGAAATAGAGTGAGAGAGAATAGCGAGAGAAGGTAAGAAAGTTAATGAAAGTGTAAGAAAGGATAGAAAGAGACCAGTTTAGATAGTTTAACACCAAGAAAGAGAGGCAAGAAAAAAGACAGAGACAGAGAGATAAAGCCTACACACACATTCATTCACACACACACGCACACACATGGGCGCATGCTCACATAGAATAGAATGATGGGGGGCGAAATCGAAAAAAGAGAAAATGTTAGAGATCGATGAAGCAGAAAATTAAAGTGAGCATTAGAGAAAGAGAGAGACAGACTGATAGACAGAGAAAAAGAGAAGGAATGCGGTGTAAAAATAAAAAAAAGAGAAAAAAGAAAGGGAAACAAAACAATACAAAAAGGAGAGTTTTTGGCTGATAAATGGAAAACAGACGATAAACAGAAAGGAAGTAAAAGAAAAGAGAGGAGGAGAGAGAGAGAAAGAGTAAAAAGAAATAAAGTAGAAAATTAGTATAGGGAATATGAGTGAAGAGAAGAAAAAAGTAATGAGAGCTAAAATTTAAAGAAAAGAAATAATTTATAAGAATATAAATATAGGAAACGCATTTATTTCCAAAATTAAATCTGTTTTTTTTTTCAAGGAATCTCAGATTAAATTAATCAGGATTAGATAATGATAATTCGGATAAAAAGCTGGAATGAAAAGTTAATCTATTCATGAGGTCGGTATCGAGGCATCCTTATTGTCTACGATGGTGACATAATTTTGTGTATCGTTATGATTGATACCAGAAATATGAACGAAGAAATTGGTTGGAGAAAGGAGATGCGTTCTTGATGCGTGATGTTTTGTGTAGTGATGACGAATCGTACTTGAACGATGACGTAAATGATCATCAGTAATGCTATGATGATCATTCTGCTGTTCCAAGACGTATTGGCAAGAGAGGATTATGTCTAGCAGTTCTATTTTGGTCTGCCCAAATACAGAGAGTGTACTCGGTACAATATGAGACTCATTCTTTGTACGCGTCTCGACGCCAATGATTACAAAATTGAAAATATATATAGTTTTTACGAGGGACATATGCAAACAAAATCTCGAGAACAAAATATTTTAAATAATTAGCACATAAAACAATAAATTAGTCTCGCTAATATATTATATATACGTACATATAATTAAATACTTTCACAACAATATTTTATACGAATTAAATACATAAAATATACAAAAAATTGATTTGAAAAGTCAGTGCTAAATCTTGCAGCTTTTTCTAATCATTACACCCTAAGAAGAGAGTTGGTAACGATTCACATTGCATTTTAAATGTTTGAGAATTAAAGTTGGCTGGAAAGCAAGAAGTCGGAAGAGATTTCTGCATGCGAGAAGTGTGGGTTTTCTCTGTTGCATAGAAGATACGTTTGCATCTATCCATTTCAACTGTAAATAGATGAGACCTTTTTTTTTTAAGCATTTCACCACATGCAAGGCAGGCGTGCCACTAGCGCGCAGGCGGTTACGGAGAGTAAAAGTGAGTGAAAAATGTGGGTGTAGGGGAGATTTAGGAAAGGGAAATAAGTACAGGGATCAAGGCAAAAGAAGATAGCGTTTGACATTGCTTTTGAAGATTGTAGTAATCAGACAAGCAAGTGAGAGGAGAGAAATTCCAATATCGAGAAGTGCGAGTAAAGAAACTGTTGGAGTAAAAGTGGCGGTTACATTTAACTATTTCAGCAGTAAAATGGTGGGGCCTAGATGCCAATCTAGTAGCACGCTTAAATTCGTGTAGTCGGAGTACCAGTTAAAAAAGCTCGTCAGACAGTGGCCATGAAAATATTTGTAGAAAAGACAGAGGGAAGCCACATTACGTCTATGACAATGTGTCTGAAATCGAGAAGCCAATTTAGGACCGATTAGATTACAGATCTTTCTTTGGGTTTTGTCGAGGACCTCGAGATGAACGGCACGGGCACCTGACTAGATATGGCAACAATATTCAATGCATGGACGAATGGTTAATTTGTAGATGTGCAAAATGGTCTCTGGCATGACACAGTGAATCAACTTTCCTTTCACTAGATGCAGCTATTGATTCAATTTTGTTGTTCCACTTAAATTCAGTTGAAAACGTGAGGCCAAGAAAGCGCAGTGAGACGCTCTCACAAGAGGAGCATCAATCACGCTGATGGGAAGGGGATAGTGACATTTCCTTTTGGTGGTTAAATATAGCAGTTTAGCTTTGGAGTCATTATAATTTACTAGCCATTTCCTGTCCCAGTCAACCACTTAGTGGATGTCCTTTTCACGAGCAGCGGTCAGGTTAACTTTGTCAGCGCTGCAGGGTTTCCTATTGAGACAAGAGTAAATGCTAGTATCATTTGCATAAATAGCTACTTTAGAACTGATGACATCAGGGAGATCATTGATGAAGATCAGTGTAGGACGGATGATAGAGCTTTGAGAGACGCCCGCGTTAGTCTGAAAGGGAAGAGAGTCCGTTCAGGACAACCTTCATTTTTCAATTAGATACAAATGATTAGATTAAATCAAGTAAACGTCCTAGAATACAAGAGACCTGAAGCTTAGGTAGAAGACCAGCATGCCAAACCCTGTCAAACGCCTTCGGGATATCTAGAGCCACAGCTCGACAGCCAAGAGCTTGACATATATATATATATATATATATATATATATATATATATATATATATATATATATATATATATATATATCCCTCGATATAAGTATATACACTTGTTTGTTATTTTAGCGTGTTTCCCCTTTTTTTGCTCTTCATTTTCGTTACTGTTCTTTTCGTTAATTAATTATCCAACGATTGTCTCCTGATGAGATGTTGGTTGAAAGGGCCTTAGAGATTAATAAAATTAAAATTAATAAATTCATAATTTTTAAAACTATATATATATATATATATATATATATATATATATATGGTTATGTCCATAAGCTCGTCAGCGGCAGACAGGGCAAAACAGAATCTATATTGTTTTCCAGAGAGTAGGTTGTGATAGGTAAGATGCTGAACCGCTTCAGCATTGATTAAAGCCAAGAAGACTTTGCCGAAAATCGGTAGAAGACTGACAGGACAATAATTCGAGGGGTCAAAATGTTGTCCAGAGTTCTTAAAGACAGAGACGACAGAGAAGGACTTCCAACAAGCTAGAAAGCAGGAAGCTGTGAGGCAATAGTTGTATAGTTTAGAGAGAAATGGAACCAGCTCGGGAGCACATTTCTTTAGGATGCCGCTGGTATCACGTCACCCCCAATTGACTTATGGTAGTCTAATTCAAACATGGTGTCCGAGACCATCGACGGGGTTATGTACATATCACTAAGTATAGACTCAGTTTTTAGAGGGGAAGTCAGATGTAGCCAATCAAGATATGTCATTTGTTGAACTGGAAGAGAATTTACGCGCAAAGTATTCTGCCGTATCTGCTGTCGATGTTACGACTTCGGATTTTAAATAGGGGAGGGACTGAGGATATGCTGTTGTTCAGCACACTCTTGCAGAGCCACCAATAATCTTTAGGACAGAACTTGCGTGATGCTATACGTTGTTTCATTCTATAAGCAAATAGTAACTTCGCTTCCTTGAGGGTACGCTTGCACTCATTACGAGCAGAGTTAAAAGACGTCTAGTGGGAATCTACTTATGCGTTTAAATTCATAAAGCCTAGGTATCATACTGCGAATTTCATCAGAACAATTATCATGAAAATATATACAGAAAAGGCACAATGAAGTTACATTATGGCGGTCGAAAATTGACTGAAGTCGGAATGCCATTTCAAGACCAATAACTTGGGAGATTCTTCTTTGGATATTTTCAAGAATCTCAGAATATATAGCAGGAACACCTGACCATATGTGGTAGCAATATTTGAATCATGGACGAGTTATAAATATGGAAGATAGATTCTGAAGAAAAATGTCTAGCACGACACAGTAAACCAACTTTCCTAGCAGCAGAACTAGCAATTGATTCAATATAATCTTTACACTTAGTTAGTGAAGGTGAAACTATTCACTTTTCTGTAGGTTAGCATCAGCCATGCTGATGGAAGGCAGGAAGGTGTCTCTTTGATGATTAATAGAAAGCATTTGTGTTTTTTGAGGTGTTAAAAGTAACAAGCCATTCCTTGCCGTAGATTACACCAGATTTTAGGCCACTTTGGCTAAAATGACGTTATTAGAAATAAAAACAATGAAGTATAAAATTCGAAATTGTCATATCTAATTTGACTATCTCAGAAAACAGAAAACAAATATAAGATGCTCCAAGATCAATGCGAGCTCATATCTAGCATTCACACAGCCTACTGAAAAAGTAAACTGTACCGCTTCAGTGACCTGGGTGAATGGAGCTGTATCCTTGGTTCAAAGTTCACGTAAGGTCAGAGGATCTTCATCTAACGAAGTCTTAATTGGAGGCACGGATTACATTCTCCCTGTATTATTTTATGCATTTATTATATACATATTAGCTTATTAAATGTAGAAATGGTTAAACAATCTTTGCAAATAAATATATACGTTTGTTAAATATATAACCATGATAATTAATTTAAACGTGTAGTATATATGTGTATAATGTATTTAATAAATAATCCTTTTTTATATGTGCTAACAACCTCTTTTTTAGAATTGTAAAGGGTGTCCATCTTCGCTGATTGATAGAAGCATAATCCTTTATTATTTATACAGAAATATTAAAAATAAGATGGCGTTAGATATGTGACGCTGTCTTGCCGATAATATCGAAATTTGAAGAGTATTAATAAATTCTGAACGATTATTTCGCACGTAAGCGATAAGAAATTTCAAACCGAATACATTCATATTTCGTTAAAAATTTACGGATTAAATGTTCATTTTTAATTGACGAGTTTAGAAGCAAATAATAAAGCGAGGAACGTTTTAGAAAACGACATCACTTTTCGTTTTGAACTCTGTGATAACGTAACATCGCTTGACTCGTATTTAACTGACAAAAGTTGATAGTGTTCGAACTTAATTGAATCCATATTAATTATTAATCTTTGAAGAGCATTTTTTCAGCTTATTTTATTATTTTTTTTTATTTGCATTTTGACAAACTTTATTGCAGCAATTACTTTTATTGGGTTGGTGTATAATTATCAGGCGTTTTTGTAGGCGAGTTATTTGTTAATAAATATTGATGTTTTGTTTACATTTTATTTTAATAAAAACATTTATTTTCAGGTTATTAAAATGCGTATCATACTCAGTAAAAATGTTATTGTTGAATTGTTATGTTTGTTTTTCATAATAAATATTGTTTAAAAACGTCTGATAATTATGCATCAACCCGATAGAACAAAAATCGATATCGCGCTGACAGTATTAGGTGAATTTACTGACTGATGATTATTCGTAGCCTATTTGATATTAAGAATAAGTGATCCAAGTTCGATTCTAGCCGGTGGCTTATAGTTTATATCTAATCTGTGCTAATAAATTTCTGGTTGTAGAATGTTGATATGGGAGTTGAAAATAAAATAAAGTTAAAGGAAACCCTAGCTACAATTACTAAGTGCAGTTTTTATTTCGAAAATGCAACATTTGGCAAAGTTTATAGATCACTATACTTCGCGTATGTTTACTGAGGTTCTTGCAATAACAGAAATCAAAGTGATATTATAATTCAACGTTTATTCATTAGATAGATATGAAGTATACGTCAATCAATTTCTGAGTGAGGACTAATTAATATTATTTAAAATCAAACTAATGTTTTGATCTTTATTATCATTGTCACAGTGTTTCGTTCGTTGTAACCATCGGCCTTCTTCAACTGTTAGTAGGTGCGTGTAACTCTCAAGGAATTTCCAAATAAACTTATTTAATCTATGTGGTATTGAGTGTTCTT